GCTTGTCGGGATAGCCTTCACCCGGCTCGCTACCCATCTCAAGACTCTCTTTCAGGTCTGGCGCCTCTTCGCGTAGCGCTGCAATGCCATCTGCATCAGATACGTTTGTTGTCTTCTCACTTGATAGGCGACTATAGCCTCTATTTGCTGCAAAATCAATATTGAGTTTCTTCTCCTTCTCAGACGTGGGCAAGGCAAAGAAGCGCTCGCTCCATGAATATACATTCGCTAATTGATCTGGGTCAATGCCACTGTTTTGTAGCAACAAGAACCCGGACGTTGTGAACCCGCTTTTGATCTCTTCTACACATGCAGCGCGTTCAGAGGGCGTTCCATTGATATATTTAGAGAAGTCGACCAGTGGAACAACAAACCTCTTCTGCAACATATCCTGTCGTATTAGTATTTTGTTCTCTATCTCAACGCATCCTACATCGATATCATTCGAAGAACAATTGTGAAAGGTGATTCATTCACACACTCGTACAGATTCTTTGCAGCAAAAGAGATGGAATCGGAGCAACTTGCACTTGAGAAAGATTGTGTTACTCACAGTACTCATTCTGGCAACACAATCTATCTTTAGTTTGGTGTACAAAAATGAGATCTTCGGGTTGCTATGAAATAGATCGAAAGCACTCAGTAGAAGTCGATTGCTAAATAAAGACGCTACAGTCATTCAATTTATTGTCAACGAATCTTATCAACGGAGTTGTCCGCTGTCACAGTCCTGTGATCTGATAAGAGAATGAGGAGATGATAAGTCTCCGGCTTTAGGATGGTGCTACACACTTGCTAGTCAATGCTTACCGATACATAGCGTGCTATTGGCGAGACATCGATCGCGCCCCAGATACATGGATGTACCCCAGGTTCACTCGCAAAACCACTTATCTGCCTTCGATGAGGCAAAGTTACGCGGGGAAGCCCTATCATGATGAGATAGGTGAGGTAGCATAATCACCCAATGAACGTTCCATCATGGATTGTCCCATATGATTAACTCTTATTCTAGTCATCTCCTTTTCCCCAACCAACCAGCCCAGCATCGTTGAAAGAACACTGAACGGCCCAGGGTTTGTGCGCAACCTCGAGATGGTTCGTTTCCACGTGTATTTCTAGCTATTAGCTCCAGAGTGTGATTAGCTGCAAAGGTCGACGAGCTGCTTGATTCTCAATAGCCATGGTATGATTTATGAAACATTGACCGGGCAGGTGCACCCGCCCAGCCAAAACTAAAACCCATCCATTTACTGTACAGGTCTGCAGCTCCATCTCATCATCATTAAGAGCTAACATGTCCCCACGTGGGCTCTTTGAGTATGGGAAAAAGTTGAAATTTCCATCGCTCCGATAATGCTCAGAAATCTAGTAAACCCAGCCGCGATAACTCATCTTCTGTCAATCTCCATGCATCCACTACCCTCTCCCAAAGAAAATCGCTTGTTCGTGACGGTATAGACTTTATGTAATTCCATTCTTTCCGCCCATAGCCTCCAACAGCGAAGATGTGCGCGCGTATAGTGATTGCTGCCGTGGGAACACTATAGGGGAGGCACACCACTATTTCACTACCATGGTCTGTGCTTCCAAGACTGTATGTTGTGATGGCACAGATGCTTGTGACCAAACCGCTGAACGTAAGCGTCCAGAAAGCCGTTTTGATCACGTTCTGTTCTGCCGGGTCGCTACCAGGCTTTTCAGACAATATACCGAGTTGTGTAACAAGCGCAATGAAGCATATTGTGATTGCAATATTGATTGCGCGCATTGTTAGGCTTGATGGCGATTTCTGACTTGAGAAATTTGTACGATTCTGGACTGTTCGCCTTATGAGTTCAAAGCCGGAGACTTCAGCTGAGGCGTGTGGATGACCTTTAAAATGATAGCTGCAGTCGTGACTAATGAAAAAAAAAAAAGGATCTTTTCTTTTGATGATAGTATGAATCTTCATACCAGGACGAAAATATTTTTTCTCTTTTGGCTACGAAAGTAAGAACGAAGATTGCCAGCCCCTGGCTGTGTTTCAGGTTGTGAGGTCAGGCATGCGACCAGATATAGTCCGTGCACACATCGGAGCCGAGCAAGGAATCGCCAGAGAACCTACACCATAAATCATCGACAATGCGGATGTATCGAGCAAGCAATATGCATCTAGACTACCAAAAAATCTTACTGACTTATTGACTACTAGCTATATTAGCGTATAGGGAACTGACAGCGGTAGTCGACAATGTCTATCGTCACTAAAGAGGGGCTTAATCTGGTTGCGGCCCTGTGATTTACTGAAATCCTGGACTTCAAGTCATTTATTGGAGTTATCTTTGATAGAGACGAAGCCGAGAAGTACCCCCATAAGCAAATTAATGGTATTTTGTCTGAGAACGTAATGTATCTGCCTCCCATCATGACAACTTGACTTCGTGTATTAAGACCCCACAAAATACCTTGATAAGGGGGCCGTATGCTTTCTACGCTTCATATGACTGATCTTTTTCGCCGTTGTGGTTCGTGTCGAGATACGGCAGGATTTTGATCCATCTAGCTCTATGCTGAAATAGTTTAGACAGAACTAAAGGCGTAATTCGTGCTAGTGGCATCGCCAATTGCAAAGGAAACATGGAAAGGGGTCAAAATCGGACTATAGACAGCGCCATAGAGACTGATGAGGCTGACAGTAAATGTAGCTGGGTCAGCTACAGCATTCTCTGGCAAGGTAACTGTTTCGTTGAGGTTCTCAAGCTGGTTTGATTTATCAGCTTTGTATAAATTAGCTTGCTCCAGGCTAATGTTTTGGACATAAAAGTCTGGCCCGTCTTGACTTACTTCCTAAGTAGAAGGCATTTACAAAGCGTCCAAGACTATCAATGGGAGGAGTTCCACTGGCATAGCCTACCGCGAGTGGCGAGTGACACGTCTGGGACGGATTGAATATAATTTTCGCTCACTACAATAAGATCGAATGTAGCGCCCGGCTTGACCGTCTGAGGGACGCCAATGCCAACAACTCTAGATTCTGCGATTGAGAATAGAGAAGCGCCCGTTGTGACGATGCTTAAAAGAACGAATAATTATACCTCCAACGTGATCAGCATAATGTCCTCGCACAGGTAATACTCCCCTGCTAGGGTATTAAACATTAAAAACTTAAGGGGTGAAGATACTCAATGCAGACTGTCGTAGTACTCATCAAGCTCTCGAATATTCTGTCAGTTTCTATAGGTCTATCAACTTCTACAAAGGTCGTGATGCCCTGTTGAGGAGGTAGTGGTACCCGTGGCAAACTAACACTTATTACCCTGGCGGAGGAGTACGGTAAACGTGATTTAATAGCCCCGCTGACACTGCTGGGTTCCGTTCAAAACAGCTTCAAGCCGCGGAGGAAATCGCATCATGTTTCCCAGACCAAGAAGCTCAATTTTATCCCGAAATTCCGTGCGACGTAGACGATGGAGTTGAGTGGTCGGGTGTGCGTGGTGGGAGTTGAATCAGGTTGGAACGACCGACGCTCCCCACACTTCAGCGCCTTACAGAGCCTCTAGCCCGCTCTCAGCCTCTGTAACGTTTCTGAAGATCACCTCGTATTATTTCAGAATCCCGTATTCTAAGATCAATACATCATGGGACCACCGATTTTGCCATTTCAATATGGAGTTTCAAGAGCTGCGCTCCATAATTCATTGTTCAAATGGCCACGGGACCCTTTCGTAGGCATGAGCGGGTCGTACATAACACTGGAGCCTAGGATGTATAAACCTCATCTTCTAGACCTAGATATTATGAGTTCTTGAGAGTTGAATGGACTCTTGGGCCACCTTGCTTGTGGGATACGGAGGAATTTCGTCATTGGATCACAACCCTAGTTGTAGACCAGATGTTCAATATGCATTGAGCCTTCTGAACATCCGCAAAACCTCGCTGATGGCGCATTGAAATAAGTTCTCGAAGGAGCGCGTTCTACAAACTTAGTCTCAGCTAGATTCTCTGAAGTCGCTGAGCAGGTCATCCTTAGACATAAGCAAAATCGTTCCGGACAGTATGGACGGCCATGCTGATATTTGGTCGGAGGATATCACGTATCAAGCCTTGCTTATAACTCAATAATAGTGTATAATTCAGATCTAGGGGAATGCATCAATCAAGGATAATACATGTAAGTAATGGAAAGCCACGAGCAGAGGACAAGAATGGCGTAGATTAGACGCGATTCAAGAATGGGCGCTTACGCCGACGAGAACGGTACTGAGCGCTTGTCGCAGCTGCTAGGTACCTCAGTAGGCAAGTTGACGTAGCCAGCGAAGTCATTGGTCGATCTGAAGAGTCATCTCAGTGATGGTGAAGTGGAATAATCGAATCAGCGCAGTGAAGAACCAAGGAGTGTAACGCTATTGTTCCTTCCCCACGAAATATGCGGATCAAGCTCCTTCCCATTCTTCCTTAGGCGAGCGGGCGAGCCCGCCCTAAGGCAAGGTACCTAGACCAGGGCGTACCCTAGCAACCAACAGCGAGCGCGGCCGATAAGAGCTCTCGCACAAGCGCAACTCGGACTAACATAGCTCTTGTGACTTCCCAACAACCATCCTGTGACCGCCTGTTCACCATCACCTGCCTCCGCTCGTCTCTTCGCCATTGTGCCATCTCAACTTGACAATCTTCATCGTCGCCAACGAACCTCCATCGTCATCGCTGCATCTCGACTTTGCTCTGCCGAAATGACTAAGCATACGCCCGATTTCCTGCGCGCGAGGAGCTCGAACCTCTCACTTCGAGCTGCTGCAATGGAGTCTTCGATCGCATCGCTCGCCATTCCCAGCCCCAGCAAGCCTGCAGAGCCAGAGCTTTCGGCGGAGTCCAGAAGTTTCGTTCTGTCGGGGATGGAAGGAAAGACTGCCACTGAAAATGAAGTTTGTCCACGATGTGCCTGGGGACTTAACATTGAGCAGAAGGGGCGGGTCTCTATAACACCAGATCGCGATGCTTGCAAGATCTGCCTCTATAGAATGATCAAGCCCGAGTACTTCACCAAGCCGTTCTGCAGTTTTCTGACCGAGAACCCTACCATATTCCATGCGGTAGACTATTTCAAGAAGAAGATGCTTGGGCTGGGTTTCAAAGAGGTAAGAATTAAAGTTACGCCCTTCGCTGTCATTTTACTATTTAGCTGACCTGGTCTTATTTTTCAGCTCCCTGCCCGCGATGACTGGTCCGGAACGATTGAGGCTGGCGGAAAGTATTTCGTAACGCGGAACAGCAGCTCCCTCATTGCCTTCACCGTTGGCAAGGAATACAAGCCTGGCAATGGAGTGGCTATGATCGCAGGACATATCGATGCATTGACGGCAAAGCTCAAGCCCGTCAGTAACAGGCCAACCAAAGCAGGCTATGTACAACTAGGTGTCGCGCCATATGCGGGAGCTTTGAACGAGACGTGGTGGGACCGCGACCTGAGCATTGGTGGTCGCGTTATTGTCCGTGATGAGGAGACGGGCAAGACAACCACCAAGCTCGTCAAGCTGGATTGGCCAATCGCCAAGGTGCCCACTCTAGCGCCACATTTCGGCGTGGGCATGATGGGCTCAAACAACAAGGAAACGCAAGCCGTTCCTGTCATCGGCCTAGAAAGCTCTTCAGGCGCGCAGGAGCCTCTAGGCGAGGCTGGCTCTTTCGTTGCGACGCAGCCGCCGAAGCTAGTCAAGCTGATTGCTTCGGAGCTGGGGATCTCAAACTACAGCACCATTGTTAATTGGGAGCTGGAGCTGTTCGATATCCAGCCGGCGACAGTGGGTGGCATGGACAAGGAATTCATCTTCGCGGGACGCATTGACGACAAGCTTTGTAGCTGGGCCGCCTTGATGGGTCTTCTACACGCTGATCAGAACCCGAAGGACGGTACAATCAAGCTCGTCGCCCTCTTCGACGATGAGGAGATTGGTAGCTTGCTCAGACAGGGCGCAAAAGCAAACTTCCTGCCGAACGTCATCGAACGCACGGTGGAGGCCCTGTCTGAAAGTGCCGATGTGAAGTTCGGCCCGGGTGTCGTTGGCCGTACATATGCGAGATCATTCTTGGTCTCTGCGGATGTTACGCACGCCGCGAACCCGAACTTTTTGGAGCGGTACCTGGACCAGCACATGCCATTGCTGAATGTTGGGGTGGCCGTTTGCGCGGACTCGAATGGTCATATGACCACCGATAGTATCAGCACAGCGATCTGCAACCGCGTCGCTGAGCTGAGCGGCTGCAAAAACCAGCTCTTCATGATTCGCAATGATAGCCGATCGGGTGGCACTGTTGGCCCGACGCTGAGCAGTGTGATGGGTGTCAAGGCGGCAGATGCCGGGTTGCCCCAGCTCAGCATGCACTCTGTTCGCGCCACCACTGGTGCCTTGGACCCTGGCCTGGGCGTTAAGTTCTTTAAGGGCTTCCTGGACAAGTGGGAGGAGGTTGACGCTGAATGGCACGCTTGAGGAATGGAAGGTGTAAGGGAGTTGGGCGATGGTGGGTAGAAATAGGTTTTAGGATGAAATACATGTACAGTATCGTAATTATACAGTAGGATAGATATGGAAGTAGCAGGAGTTGGAGATAATACGGATTTTCATTATGCTTGATGCGGTCCTTTCTTCGCTTTGCAATGCAATACAACACAACATGTGTATAGTCCACCATTATGCTAATTACTATCTTCTCTTTCCTCCGTAGGCTTTCGCAGCATTTCCGCCTCTCGTACCTCCATTCGCTCGTCTAACAGACTGCCTGTCTCATCGTCATCATCATCGTCGTCATCGTCATCATCGCTTCGTCCAGCGTCGACCTCATCGTCGGCCTCAGGAACAGGAGTCTCGGGCTTCCTACGCTTCTCAAAGTCCTGTTTGTGAGCCTCCGCCATGATCCGCGCAATGGACCTCCTCCCGACCGTATCTGCACGTCTCCTCCTCACGGTACCGTCGTCTGGAGTGCCCTGCTCTTCGCTGTCCAGATTCGCTGTTGGAACGCGGCTGCTCGCCCCTCCACTGATTTCCACACCGGTTGACTTGCCGCTTGCGGCGGTGGGTATCCGGTCAAGAGCCGATTCCATGCTGACCCGCTCAACCAAAGTCTCGATCTGATATGGCAACGGCACATCGCGAGAAGCTTTGTATTGGGCGACATTGGCACAGTGTTCGTTCTCCACTCGGAAGAGTGTCCACATCCCTCTGCGAGTGACTTCAGAGAAGGCTGTCAAGAAAGACACGATTGTACTATGTTGAGTATTGTGTGTGAAGATTGCATAGAAGATCCAGGAGAAGCGTAGGATTGGATCGAGGACCATGGCGGCGTAATATGGCCAACGACTCTTCAGAGCAGTGATATCACGGAGTAGACGATGACGAGAGTTCGGCTGCAGAAGAGAGAAATCCATGAAGAGATCCCAGATTGCTGTTATCATTAGTGACATATCCTCGCGACAAGCACGATATTACTTACATGTGTAGACTCCGTTAATGGTGGCAAAGGTGATGAATAGAGCAAGGTTGGCGTGGCTCCCATTGATACGATAGAGACTCAAACAAACAGCAGTGATGATCGTGGCCACATACTTGCCGCAGTTGACGAGATGTGGGAAGACGTTCTTCGTGTCGTGATAACGTCGCATACACTGTAGCGCACGCCAAATCGGTGGTAGAGTTGAGAAAAAACCCAGTAACCGGGAGTGATTAGAGTTGCACTGGACTGGGTTATTCCAGGCGTGCGCGTATAAGCAGAAAAAGAGTTCAATGTTCTGTAATCAATTAGCAACGCGCCATTCGTTAATTAGCTTGACTTACACATGTAGCATAGGTCAGAGAGCAGTATATATCTCCCATGAAGAAGTCGCGAAATTCAACTGGGTATAAACCGGCGAAAAATAAACGCCACTGAAGAGATTAGTCTTGTTGGTTTCATAAAGGGTGTCGAGCACAACTTACATGAGAGTATAGGAACCATTTTCGGGCTTTGTGACGCAAGATCGGTGCAGGAAAGAACAATATGACGAGTGACACGAATATCAAGATAACTGGGTAATACAGGTACATGTCTGGAGTACCATACCGCGTGAAATTCAACCAGAAAAACAGTCCAAAGAGAAGTAGAAAGAAACTTGGAAACTCGGCGAGCTCTCTCCAGTCCAAATGATTTCTTGTGTCGAACTCAAAGATGAAGGGGTAGTTCACCTTGTTCACTGTCCATATCTTGCAATCCAGACAGAACAGGCAAAAGAGGTAGAGCATGAGGAAATATCCGCCGTAGATCTGCATTAGATAGCTCGTCTGTTGGCGTACAATCGGATCCGAATCAAAGAGCAGCTCCGCCCCATATACAAGTCCTTGAACTGTAAAAACAGCTCCGACGCCCAGGAGCAAACCGTTGACAAATGCGCTTCCTGATTCATCGCCCGGTTTACGGCTGAGGCTGCGAAGTTTGCCGGCAGCAAGTTTGTGATTTCCTCTTTCGAAGTATCTCGCATATAGGTCCTCAACTGCATGAATGTGTCCGTCAAGAATATCGCTGGTGACGAACCATGACTTGTTGACTTTCTCATTCATGTACCTATATGGCGGTCTTGCATTAACGGCTTTATCGTACTTCTTATTTAATTTCCGGAAAGCAGTCCGATTAAGCAGAGCATATGATTTGAGCAATTCCAGCCCTCGATAAAACTCCTGGAGGGCCACTTTCAACTTTCGCTTCGCCGTTCTGTATGGAATATCTGACTCGGGAGGGCGGCGGGTGTAGTCTCTCCTCTCTTCTCTGGACGCTCCTGCAAACACCGGCGTTTGTGGCATCTTCTGCAGGGCTCTTGAATTCGGACCCGGCTTGAATAGTTTTGCCTTCAGCGGGTCGAAAAGGGAATGGTGCTCATGCTCTTTCCCATTCTCATGCCCATTAGCGTCGGACTCTCCTTGCTCCTTGCGCCGTCTAGATTCCATGATTTCATGTGTCCGCCTATTCCTCATCTCATGTAGCTGCTCTCGGAGGAGGGCAAGTCTCTGACCAGCATGATCCTCCTTTTGCTTGTAGAACGTCTCGACCTTGTCTAGCTCGCTGTCCAGGAACTCGAAGAACTCTCGTTCTCGCTCTCGTACCTCATCAAAGGAATGTAACTTGACATCTCCTCTGGAGGTCATGCGGCGTTCTGAGGGAGTGCCCATTGTGAACATCCTCCGGAACCTCTGACGAGGGCTTTGTATATCACTAGGAGTCAGATTTGGCATGCCCGGTCCTGCTGAAGGCGCCTTCGCTGTTGGAATAGTGGCTGCCATCGACGTGCTCCGCTGTAACGCCATACGACTAAGTGACCGAGTGATGGTATTTCCTAACGGCTTCGGGGATGGTTCGCTGGTATTCGACGGCACGCGAATGGCAGGAGCTGGGAGCTCAAACGTATTTCGAGAGTCGGACTGCGCAGCTGGTGTCCGAAGATGGGGAGGGGTTGGTACGAAACTACCATACTGCATATCGTTATCGCGATCGTGGGCGAGACCTTGTCGTTCGCCTGTAATGGAGATGGCCTTAGCAGGTCTCTGCGGCTTCGGGGTCCGGCCCATCGGCGCGGGACTCGACCGGAGAGGGTCATTCCCATCCGAATCATCGGAGTCCACATCTTCGGCTCTGCTTCGATGTGATCCCAATGGCGAGCCTCGAAAACTGTGGCTACCGTTGCGCGATATCTCGGGTCTCTTGGTCAAGCTGTATGGAGTGCCATTTGTGCGATTGATCGCTCGACTGACAGACTTGACATATTTCTTGCCAGCTTTGTAGTTCAGATATTTGATCCTCCATTCTGGGACACAGTCCCGTTCAAGTTCCTTCGCGAACTTCATGACGTCACGGACAATGAATGTCGGGAAGTTCGAATTTGATAGTCGATGGCCATTGACAGATCGGAGTTGTGGCTTTGTGATATGCGTCAGGAAATCTGAGCAATCGCCTCAGCGTACCCCGAGAGCTGTTCGACTGGTACGTGGAAAGGTGACAATTACTGGTGAGGCGCGTCAAAAGTTTTCCGAAGCTTTGATCTTCAAGGTCCCTTGCTCGCCTGGCTATGCCCCCGCGTTCTTGGGGAAGCGACCAATCGCCGAACGCCAATCATCCACGCAAAATGCCGCCTAACCAGAGCTGGCGCTCGGTGAGACCCTGACATTGGAATTGCCCACTGTATGACGAGAAATTGGACCTTTTGTGCTCTGTTAGGCAGATGGTGATCTACATTGTACGTGCAACTCGTCCACTGTATACAGATGCGGCTCTAGCCAGACCTTTTGACACAACGAGCAATTGGAAGCCTCCAGAAACCAGCTTTTCGCAGAGGAGTAAGCACTGGTATGAAACCACCATTCATGAATTCAGGAGCTTGGCTTGAATCGGGCTCATCTATTCTCGCGATCGGGTCCAGTCTTTACTTGGTCCGCAAGATAACACCATGTGGTAAGAACCATCTCGTTGGACGATGAAGTGTCTCAGACATCGGTCTGCCGACTACCGTTATTGTTCAACTGTATCATGCTGTGTTACTTAAGTGTTCTGAAATCACTTGGGGTCCGCACTTTGCAGTTTGCGCACAGCAATTTCCTCTTCTCGAGCAAGTTTGTATATGCTCAGCACAGTTATCAGTTACTTGACCTTTCACATTCATAAGGAACCAGTACCGGTAGGTGGAAAGGGACAAGGCTCGTTTTCTCGCACCTAAAGCGAACGCTTTATGGGGATAAACGGGCAATTGGCCACCTTGGGTGAGCTCTTCGCTGCGTTAGATTTATGTGCTCGATGGAAACTCGTGGACTTCAACAATATAGGCCAGTCGGCCTTGTGGCTTGCCTATTTGGAAGCACCTATCGTGGCAGCAGAGTTAACCAGGGCCGGCTTGTCATGGTGTGGTGCATCCCCAGGCTCTGAAGGATTGCTTGCATGCCCGCAACAATTAGTCTACACAGCTAGTGAAATCCCACCAAGGCCAACTCATGACGTTATGCACACCATGCGGATGGTGACAGCGAAGATCATGAAATCAGGGTCAAGGGAAACGTGGACCTCCCGTCTCGCGCGCTGACAGCCGAAACCCGACTGCCGTTACATTGAGGCAAAAGGCTTACCTAGGTACCTTGGAAAACGATGCCAAGCCAGATGCAGCTTCCAAGGAAATTCGAGACGATGTCCCCTGGCGCGAAGCGCTGACGGCGTGGGCAGAACAGGGCAATGAGACGGGCTTGCTGCTGGAGACTTGGAACGGCAGATCGGGATCTGACAGCGTCATCGGGGAATTTCCAGAATCCCCTTCTTGCAAATTCGACAACGCCAGAACAACAGCATCAATCCTACCCGTCTTACGGCAAGCTTAGGGCAAGCCGATTTGTCCCGCCTGTTCCTGGCCTGTCAGGTTAATAGTAGTATATTGTCTAAAGTGCGCAAGTCGGCGCCAAGCCGCCAATTGCAAGCTTATGTGACTGGCTTAGGAATTTCCAAGGCACGCTGCACTTCTAGTCCTTTCTGGAGGTTCACGATGGCTTCATCCTTCCGAGATAGGATAATCATAACGAAATGAAGTAGTCAGCCTCCACGGACCTTTTGACCGCTACATCGAGTGCTTAGTCACTGCTTTCACGGTGTTCAAGCTAGTCGTGATTTCTAGGGATTATCATGGCTAGCGGTCTGCGCTCGCAATTTTGTGATGATAGGAGCAAACTTCCCGGAGCCCCGCGCTGCTCCTCCCTGTCGACAATCAATCTAGCTCCACCGAGCTATTGAAGGCATCACAACTTCCTGGGCCTTCTGCGGATAACAGAAATGATAAGCATTGCGATTAACAGATCAGCGCCCCGCGCAGGGTGAATCAATGCTTCCACCGCCAGCAACTATCTGCCTCTTCCACCGCCAGTCTTGTCCAGCACCTGTTTAGAACGGCATCTCTCGGACCTGTCTCCAGCAAGCTGGTGTAAGCACAACAACTGGCCAATTTTCGGTGGTAAGCTGGACAAGCACGCATGCAAGGAAGCGGTGGGGTTCAAGTTGCCTACTGCAGCTGCATCTGCATGCACACAAGGGCACATTGGCTCTCCACCCAACACCGACAGGCGTGTAGAGTACATTTTCATGATACCTGGCCGGGGGCTTTGACGGTGAGCATCCACTCAAGTGCTGAGCCGGCCGCACGCGCTTCATCAGACTCCATGAGAGCATGGGCCATATGGCGTGACACAGGGTGCTAGACTTCCTGAAATGTGGGGTAGATATGAGGTCAACAGGGGCCTATATCGCGCTCCTGTGAACCTACCTGTCGGGAGGAGGTGTCAATAACAGATCTATGATATTGCTACTTGGATCCGGCTTTGGGCAAGAAACGGTCGCGGGATGACGTCCGTTCGAATCGAGTCGCAATGCAACTCGTTAAAGAGATTTCTCAGGGTTCACAGTTGTACACGATCTTTTCTTAATGATACATTAAGTGTTGGAAAAATAAATGCGAGAATGTCAGGCGGAGATGAGTAATTCCCCGAGTGAAATGGCTTCATTTTTTATTTTTACTTTCAATGCCTTTCCAGACTATTGAACCACCCTTCTGTGGGTGATTGAGGCGACCCAAGAACTGCCCAGGGAGAAACGCCTGGTCGCCAAGTAATTCATTTGTTGGAGTTGAGCTGAGACATGCAGCATCCTCTACAGCCCAACAACCCTCGTGGCAGCTTCTCATTTCTCCAAATCCTACCACATCCAGGCACTACGGTCAGTAGATTTTGGCCAAATGCCACCATCAGGGTCCGTCTACCGCACCCAAGCGGCCCCTATGTACCGATTGTATCTTAATTAACTTCCTCAAGTGCCCGTTGATGGTGGGAGCACCATCAACAAATGCGCCGTTGAGGTGGGTACTGAACTATTAGTTCTACTAAGACGGAGAGTTTCAGCTGAAGTATGCGCGGGATGGACAACGGCGGCCTTCTCCGGAGGCGTCGACTAGAAGAAAGCACATCGCTGCATGCAAGACAATCATTGCTTCTAGGTATTGCTGAAGATGTCTTCACGGTAGAGAACACAAGTAGGCTATATGTATGCGACACTGGCCCTACCTGAAATCTATCTCTAATGGTGCAAACTCATCAGGTATTGCCCTCCCAGTCATGAGCACATGTGCATTGTCTTGTATCAATTAAACAGGTAAGGCATGGACTCTTCTTGCCCCCCATGTAGATGCGTTCGCCCAAGCGTGCTGGAGGGCCCGCTGGCTCTTCCTCCGAGGTGCCGATAGCGAATGATGACATATTGCTCGGACGATGTTTCATCTATGCAGTACTGTGCGACTCTATGCCCGGCTGGCAGTCTACGGCAATGAAAACGAACATGCACATGAATTGATAATCGCACAGGACAAGAACCATTCGAGCCATTGAAGGGATAACAAGGTACAGTACACTGCGAAAGAGGTGGCCGAACGCGAACACGACGACGAAGAGGACCGGCCAGGGAGGAGAGCTGTCTGTCGCAAAGGCCGCAAGCCAGGAGACCCTGGGCAAACCTGCCCCGAACTGACGTCTTCAGCGAATCCCCCACTCTTTATCGCCAAGCCCATCACGAGGCCCATCTAAACTCTGGCAGTGAGATTGCGAGATTCCCCAACCCCGAAGGGCCCAGCAAAGCCAGCTGTAAGTCATATTCACTCTAGACTATTGTTCACGCGAAAGAAGATCAACGGTCTTCTTTGACGCTACGAAACCTAATTCCTCGTCACCTAGCCCAAGCGTAGTACCCTGCCGTATCTCGAAAGCGGTGGAGATCTCCAGGGCTGCTCTCGCCTCAAGGCCCAGGCAAGCGCTCTGTCCAAGCGGGCGTACCGGCACTGCACTGCCATAAATACACACACTTACTACGTTACCCTTTGTGCAGGTCAGTGGGTGATCGACCTCGAAAATCCCCGACAACACGAGGAGAGAGGATCCTAAAAAGGGGCCAGCGGAAAGCTTGCAAGGGCGCAAGGTGAATCAAGCAGAGACCTTGGAGAGTGAGAGAGAAGGAAACCTTGGGGTCCTTGTGTGCTTGTGTCTTGGAAGAGCCGAAAGGCAATCTCGATCTTTGTCGATGACTTTCCCTTTCAAAGAGCGGTTTACATCAACATTTCGAACCTGTTACTGCGCAGTAGAGGTGATCAACAGCACTGGCCAACAGACATTACATCAGGTCAGGGCTGCTCTAGCGGGCTTATTGGCTCATTGACCAGGGACTTCCTCGGTGGTTCCCTCAGCTTGGTTTCGGTACCCCCAGCCGCAGCGTCTCCGTTTCCCGCTCCCTCCCCGTCCCATCTCGCCCATCCATCCAGTCGCAGTTAAGTGCCGGTCTGCCAGTCTGCCAGTCTCACTCGCTGGCGCCTCCGGTCTGTTTTGCTCTGGTTCGCTGTGCCGACCAGCCCGGGACTGGTGGGCAGTCTAAAATGCACAGGTAGCCACCTACAGAGTACACTAGTGAGTTGAAGAAGTGGAGTGTCTGGCTGCACAGCGCTAAGGTGGAGAGAGAGACACTTCAGGATCCATCCATTCTCACCCACTCGCGCCCGCCCACATTCGGCCACTCCAGAGGACCCACGAGTCAATTGCCAGCCAGCCAGCCAGCCAGCCAGCTCTTCCAGGCTGCTGCAGCTCAACCGGAATCAATCGATCGAGACAGTCAGACAGACCAGACAGGCAAGCAAAGCAAAGCAAAGCCGGTCAGACCAGGGCCGGACTAATCCCCATATCATAATAAAGACGACAGGCCAACCAACCATCTCGTCGGCTTCACTTCTCCGCAAGCTCGCAGATTCACAGAAACTGCATCAGTCTTCCTGTTTTGTCCAGCACACAAGCACTCGCCTTTCTGAATCGGGGTGGTGGCCACTCACACCGTCATCCCGACCTCATCCCCCCTACCCGGACCAGTATTGTGCTGCATGTACATACATACATACATACATACATACATACATACAAGTAAGGGCCTATAGTACGGAGGGCCATTCCCCTTCCTTGCCTGCTCACCCGCTGGCTGCAACGGCGGATGCGCCTTGGATAGCGCCTATAGCAGCAGCACATATTGGACATAGCATCATCAGTCCATCAACTCAGCACACGCATTACAGATTCAGGGAAACCCTGCCGAACTACTATGTATGCAACGTTGAAGGTCACCAACAAGTTCTGTAGCAAGTTTGTCCGCCAGGCCTCAAAAGTCAGCTCAGCTCCCACCGCCAAACACCTTCCGCACCTACATCACCTACCTACCCAAGTTACCTATCTACACCCAACCATCATTCCCCCCTCTGGGCAGTTCACCTAAACCTCCTTCAACAAGCTCACCGCCAGCCGCGGTGCTGAGCCTTGGAAGTTCAAGAGTTTGATAGACTCTGCGCTTTCTCGTAATTAGTCGGACAACACAAAACCAAGGCAGCATTACTCGCGGGTGTCGAGACCAAGAAGAAAAAAGTCGCTCGTAGAGCTAGCGGGTAGCTCGAACGGCTGTGGTGCCCCCATATCTCACGTATTTTGAGAGGGGCCAGCTCCACTTTGTCCAGTCGGCCTCCCAGCCTGCTCTCCCCGACCTTACGATACATATTCCTCGACTTTCTCCCATCACGATACAGACGCCGAAAACATACCGTCCGCTCCCCTATATGCCCGGGATCTGCACATAATCATGCTGGACTCGCAGATGGCTCGGAGGCGGCAGGCCGAGCCGCCGCAAATGCTTTATGGCCACTCCCGCACCCGCACAACGTCCTCAAACGTCTTCCCAGCACAAATACAATCGCCCACGCCGATGCATTTGGTGCAGCCGCAACAACAGTCTGCCCACAACCGCCGCTCGCCCTCCGTCAACACATTCAGCACCGTCTCAAGCTCAGGTATGGCACCTCCCGCCGCCTACCGCACCTCGCCCACCACCGACCTTCGGCGCTCTACTTCCTCTCGCTCTGCCGGTTCCACACAACCCAGCAGCTACGTCGCTCTGCTCCGGAAGCAGAAGGCGACTGTTTGGTGCGATCGGGCCCAGTATGAGGATCCACGACTTCTTGCGGCCCAGAGAGCTGCAAAGATGAGAGCGAACCTCGAGGTTGTCGGATCAGGAGCCACAGGCTTGTCAGTTGGTGGGCTTGGTGGTCGGACATCAACAGGCCTCAGTAGTGCAGGCGGCAAGGTCGCCGCAAAGATCCGACACCATGGCAAGCCCGGCGTAGTCGGATATACTCCGGATAGCAACTACGTTGGTGTCGGCGGTGTGCCTCTACGACTGAGCGCAACAGAAGTCGAAGGCGAGGATAGCGAGGAGGATGAGGCGATTACGCAACGCCTGCATCACCGTAGAACTGGAAGTAGCGGGCGCAGCAGTACTGCTGGCAGCATTGGCAGGAGAGGCCTGAATTACCGCTCTTCTGGTGGACTAGTACAAACAGGCAGCAGACGGTGGAGCCCTGGTGACACTCCGGAACGAACAGGCAGCCTGGTGGAAGAGACGGGTGAACTTCGACTGCAGGACGACTCCGCCAGCGGCCGCGCTCAAAGCACGGGAAGCGGCAGCAGTGCTGAGCGCGCAGATAACGTCCCTGATATGGGCGCTGCACGGCTCGCGAGCAATAGCCTTGCGCACGCGACGGTGACGAGAGAAAAGAGCGTCAAGAACGTCGATGATCTCCGTAGGAGGGGCAGTGTCGACGAGAGAACAATGACGCTCACGACTGGACGCCTGTTCATCGCCAATCCCGACTAATATTATCTACAAATGGGATTGTGACGTCTTTCCCTCCCCGAACCCGGCATAATTTCCGCTTGCTCAGGGTCGGAAGAGGTGTTGGCTTGACAGCCATGTTATAATATCATCGACTTATCTGGAGTTGAGTATGCGTCCTCAAGGGCTGCGCTACGGTCGCTTTGGTTTTCCTTATCTCAAATGCATTGGTCGGCGTTCAATCATCGGGCTTCATATCCAACAAGGTGTTTCGCATAGGAAACGGAATATCCGAGTGGTCCTATACTACTACCCTTAATCACGGTCGTTCCGGAGTGGCATTATTTGGTTTTTATGAGTACCCCATACGCATTTGTATTCAGTCAATCGCTCATATTCTCTTTCTATCAACTCTACATGCCGCCTGTTGCTGGCCAGGAGGTGTCGGCTAGGCTAATGAACGAACTTCGAAGACAAAAGTGCGGGAGAATGGCTTGTTGTCTACTCTGCTCTTGGCGTTGGAACAAGACAAAAAGTAGTTTAGCTACTTAGGCTTGAAATACCTCTTCAAGATGAAATCAAGAACGTGTGGGTGACCTCATATCGCTTTCTCTCCTTTCCAAATACACTGTGCCGTGAACTGCAATTTTGAATGATCATGTCTTCTCCCCGATGTTCTGGACTGACGGTATGAACTGATGTCCTTACTGATGTGCAGCGGACTTGCCCAGCTGAGACGGAGTTCATGATTTTGGTGCAGAATGATGGGTAAGCCGGAGCTTCCCCGTTTCCAAAGCAACGTTGAGCTGATCGCATCTGTCAGCACATTCTATGGAGAAAATTAAAAGAAACTCCACAGACCGCAGGACTTTCTTGCGTCGAGGCGGCGGAAGCACTCACCTCGTGTCCGGGCTTGCGCGAAGTCAAAGCTTTGAGTGGGACGTGGAAAGTCCTGCCAGCTGTTGCGCTGGTTTTTGAGTGGATGGTTTACGCGGCGATGATGACAGCTGCGGATAAGATAGATAGGACAAACTATATGGAGGCTAACACTGCGGCGTCTACGTCTATACGTACTGAGGTAGATTGACATGGCGACGGAGAATTCATGTTCATCAGCATTTGAGAAACTCAAAATTGCCTGGTCCTAGACCAGTGCTTCTGTATCTCGTCTATATCTGAAGTGTCAGGCAGGTCGTCCTGGTGGTGCTTGAGGCAACAAAGAGGAGCAAATAATCTCAAGCGCCACTCATAATTCAAGTAAGAGTACAAAGTGCCGCGACTTGTGTCATTTGATGAGATGACAATGTACTCCTGCGAAGCACCTTAATATTCTCGAAGATGTTTTCTTCTCACGATTGTGACGCAGAGGAAGGTGTATGGAAGACCCCACCAAGCATCAAATGGGTGAGCCAGTTTCAAGCCACAGGCCTAAGAGGGTATAAGCCACACATAGACGCGACCCCTGTCACCCTCCTCGACCTTGGAAAGGGAACGCCAAATTTACGCGACCCAGGCGCGTTTTCTGGGGTCGTCAATTGCCTGGCCTACCTTTAGGTAGCTAGTAACTCATCAAAGGCAAGGTATCGCTCTCCGCCAAAACGTGACACCTCTTCGACCCCGAGGAGACTCAACCTGATTAGCCCAATTCCATCCCTCTTTCCGACGGCACTTGTCTTTCGAGATCTCAACGTTCCTGCCTCGATCCATAATTCTGTAACTTCCCATTCTGTCAATCAAGGCAACCTCAACAAAGCAAACAACAAAGCCATCTTGTGTTCCCGCCACGTCCCTTCCCAGCTCGGTGAAGCGAAGCCTCGCGGCTTCCCCAATCCACCGCTCATGCCTCTTTTAACAATGTCTGCAAACATCCAGGAGCTGGACTCGTCACCCCGAAAGAGAAGCCACGACGACTTCGCCGATTCTGCCTTCGACGAGTCACTTCCCTTCAATTCCTCCAACTTGAAAGGGCAGGACCAGAGCCTCGGAGAGAATTCCAGTAACCGTGAGCATCCCAAATCCTCTGTCTTCAAGTCCTTCCCTCTCATCTTAGGCTAACTTGACCCAGACGGACCATTGCTCTCTCCACTACCCGCCATCTCAACTCAATCGCCTCCCGCTCAAAGTAGCCCTGCCGCGCTCACCGACGCAGGAAGCAGCACACCAGCAAGAAACTCTCCTTCACCACACACCCCAACCCGCCTACCAACTCTACAATCCAACACTTCTGATCTCCCTTCAGCCACAGACCAGACCCAGTCACAAATGGCTCCTGGTGCCTCCGGCCAACCGCCCGCGAAGCGTAGGCGCGTGACGGCTGAAGAAAAGGCAAAGCTCGAGCGGGAAGCAGCAGCCAAGAAAAAGGAGAAAGGGGAGCTCAAGACTGCTAAGGAGAAAGCGGCGGCTCTTCAAAAAGAGGAGAAGGAGAAGATGCGCGCGGAGAAGGCTGCTGAGAAGGCCAAGGCCGAGGCTGAGAAGAAAGCTCGTCAAGAGGAGCGCGAGAAGAAGAAACGCGAAAAGGAGGAGGAGGAGCGTCTCGAGAAGGAGAAGAAGGAGAAAGCCCAGCCCAAGATTGCTGCGTTCTTCAAATTCCAACCTACCACACCTAAGAAAGCCGGCACCGCAACTCCAGAAGCTGGGACACCTCGTGATGGCAGTCCTTCACCTCTGCAGCAGAAGTCCGAGGAGGTGTCTGATTATCGCAAGCGATTCATGCCGTTCTTCGTCAAGGAGCACGTTCGGCTCGCAGACCAACCGTTTGCAATGGATGACAAGACAAAGGAGGTCAAATCTGCTATACTCGACGAATATCTACGAGGCGATCGAGGCACTTTCGATCCACGTCCTTTCAATCCAGCAGGGTCTCTCCAGCTTCCGCCTCTCTCTTCCGCCCGTGGTCGGACTTACCCTAGTGTCCAGAAGATCATGTCTGAACATCAGACCAGCTCGGGGCCAGTTGATCTCACAACGGAATCACAAAATGCTCAGATTAGGCAGACTCGCGAGCTGCTCAGACAGGTACCGATGAAGTTCCTCGGCTTTAGAGAAGACGTGCGACCAGCGTACTATGGAACGGTGACATCACATCCGTCGAGGAGCCTGCGAAAGCTCGCGAGAAGCCCCGTCTCACGCGGTCTGCTTCCTCTCAACTACGATTACGATTCTGAGGCGGAGTGGCAGGACGATGGGGAAGGAGAGGACCTGGATGATCTTGACGATGAAGAAGAGGAGCTTGACGACGATGAGGAGATGGGTGACTTCCTCGATGATTCAGAAGATGCCGGCCGCGCCAGAGCAGCGTTCTCGGGCTTTATGGAACCTGACAGTACTGGCCTCTGCTGGGAGAATCGCAAGCGATTGGGACCTCTTGCGAACATGTACAAGTATCGCATGGAATTCATTCTTGGTAAGAGCCCCCAATGCCATAAATCATATAGTAGCTTACCTTGCTTGTCAGATCTCGATCATCATTCCGAGATCGACCCTTTCTCAACGAAATATTGGGAGCCTGAGGTAGCGCCTACTACGAGAGACCGCAAGCCTCTAACGGCAGGAGCCAGTAACGATACAGCCGGCAGCACACCCGCCATGGCACCACCTCCTGCTCCAGCAGATGCTTTTGCCGCTCTGACCTCAGCTGCCACAAAGGCGGATGCCAAGAAGGCGCTCATGCCAGCGGAGCTTCTAGATGACTTTAAGAAGGTGATTCTAGATTTCTCCGAGCTCACCAAAGTTGGAGTCATCGAGGTGTTAAGCTCGAAGTTCCCGAAGTGCACAAAGAATCAGGTGCGCAACTCGCTGGAAGAGGTGGCTGAGAGAGTCAACAAGGTATGGAGGCTGAAGACATGAAAGTCGGTCGATGCGGGATTCTTGGGACGAAAAGATTGCTTGGACAGAAGATCATGTTCGCGAATGGACAATGCGTCTTGTTTCAACGAACATGTTTCCACATGATCATCTGGGAACTTGCTCGTCTGGAAGGCATGGGCGTTCCATAAGAAAATGCGTGACAAAATGATAAGCCGTGAGGGCAAGATCAAGCATGCCTATGTACACTTAATCATCATTAAGTAGCTTCATGGGGAGACAAGATGATCATCTATTGATGCTAATGATGATGGCGCAATTAGCTAAGGGGTAAAAGGGCAGCATTTAGATCAGGAGTTCAAGGACAAGAACAGTTGTTTTCAAGCAGAGATGTGTCACTATTATAGTGGTCTTTTTTCCACAATCGAGACCATGATCGCAGTATTAGACTAAAGACGGATTGTGGTTATTTCCGTGATGCCAACTCAAGTGCGTAAGGGATTCTAACAGCGCAGGCTAATCTGATTCAAGTCTCCGATTGTTTGGACTTGACCAAATGTGATCAAACATGGAATCTTTGCAAGAGCGCTACACATGCTCATGCTCTTTGAATCATCGCTCATCACCTATGCTCACTTACGATATTCCAATGGCTTGTAATTTGCAAGTGGATATCCATACTACCAAGTTACCCACCATGTGCATCGTGAGAACTACGAGACACAATGTGTTTGTGAGCAATCAAAGTCTCGAATTAGTGTTTATTGAACTATATTGGCTCTACACAGTCCGGTACTGAGGCAATGTCCTCGGGATCTCTTGTGAATACATTCCGGTGTGTTGATATTGTGGTAGAAGGGGGTATGATGTCTTCCTTTCTTCCCAGTAATCCAGCGATCAAGAGTAATGAAAATGCAACCACACTCGTGAGCATCACTAAGAAGTATGATCTCCCGTACGTATCTTTCCCTTTCCCTTGGAATCCCCAGTTCATAATCAGAGCTGCCGATACTCGGAAAACTGCCTCTATCAATGTTTCACCCGTGAAAACGGCATATTTTCCGTCATCTCGACACCAACCTGCCAAGATAGGCTTCGAGAAGAGCGTGTAGAGGCTCCCTATGCTGGCTAACGTCATTCCCGCTTTGAACAACTCTACAGAATCTGTCAAGGCCATGATGCAACTTGCAACCATACCGAGCACTAGACACAACATTGCGACTCCCAGGTTCGCTTTCTGGCCAGATCTTGCTGAACGAAAGAGACAGTGCCGAACGAAAAGTAGTATCAATGACGCAAAGCTGCAATATCGGATGGCTATTATTGCGTCATCTACCTTTGTCGAGAACCTTCGTTGAATGCCGAGGATCGCAAAATTTGAAGAGATAGAGAGCGTGAGGGGGCTAAACGCGCAGGTTGCCAGTATAACTAGACCTATCGCCCACTGTTTCAACATTGGAGGTCTGTTTTCTCCATTTGAATCACGAGGGGATATGACTCTTGTAATAGAAGGGGTCTCCAGAAAGGCCAAAGGCAGAATGCCTAGCCCATAAATAAAAAGGCCAGTGAGAAGAGTGTGCCATGGCCCGATCTCGAACCTGATCGTGACCACCTTTATTATGTAGCTGCTTAAGAGCATAATAAATGTTACGCATGCCTGCAAAAGCACAAATACGAAGTCTCTGTGATTTAACATGTTAAGTAAATTTTGAACACTCGAAGTTCACCCCACATACCTTTGTCCTTTGTCGAACTCATTAGCAATAAAGCCGTCACGGCGTGCGGCGTAGGTCATCGTCCCTCCGCCAATTAAGGATCCGGCTTGAGACAAACATATCCACCTTGTAAGACGGGGTCTGTTTCCCGAGGAAAGAGAGTAGAGCATACTCGCAGTTATGATCTCCACGAGCATATAGCTCACTAGTGACACAACAAGAACAGTCCTTTGATTTCGTATGAGCCTGCTCGTTGTCAGATTCCGGCACCCATATCACATCGGAAGTAGCTGCGACTTACATCGGCCAACGCTCTTTCCCACAAACATAGTCCCAAACAACGGTCCAAACGATCAGTGAGATAGCACCTAACGAAAATACAGATCAACTCAAAAGGACGTTGAAGGGAGGGTGTTTGAGAGACCTACCAAACAGAGTAGTCGATATGGACTGCCACGCTAGGAATGTCGATAGTCTTGTGTCAGGGTTGTCATAACTTGCCTCCTCTTCTGAAGGGTTAGTAGAACCTGCATGTTGATTTTGAGCCAGATGAACAAAGATCGTCTGATAAGACCGCGTGAATAAGGATTCCGCAATGGAAATCACACCCGCAGATAGAAGAATCAGGTCAAATGACTTGGTTTGGAAGAGTGTCGCGGCTGCTTGAATTTCCGTGAGATGGCCTTGACCTTGGCGGTCTTTTGTGGGCTCAAGCAAATGTTGTGCGATCAATGGTGTTGTCTCGCTGATAGACAGCTCCATGCCGATAGAGCATACTCGATTCAGGAAGACCGTGTCGTAATAAGACTGCGTATACATTTTCAAAGACCTCACTCACTCATAAGAAATCTATTCAGTCATCTCATAGTGTTGTTGTCGGAAAAGCCACCTCATTTGTGTGATGGCCTGGAGGTACCTGGTATCAAGTTCCCGATTAGCTGCATTTTCTATTGGCCAAAGCTTGCTCGTTATGACCAGGTTCGGTTTAACAGTCTCACTCACCAAACATTTACACGTGGCAGGCACACAAAGATTTGTTAGTAGATGGGCGATTATTTAGGAACCTACCTTGCCGCCTATCTGAAGCCCCTGGTTTGCTGCCTGGAGACTAGGGTACTACCTACCCCACCAACTTAACCTGCAGAATGTGATGCATTGCACTCGACTCACTTGTCTGGCTTAGATAGAACGTCAAAACAAGGTCTCTTGTCTTGATGACCATCAGAGCCAAAGCTTACACTGACTCCGTTGCGTGTACTTGTACGGACGTGTCTAGGGTCCCCTGAGGCACATGTCAGCTTGGGATTAGGTGTCTTGGCTGAGGCTCTTCTATGAATCAGTGGATCCCTAGAATTCTATCTCGACATAATGATTGTAGATCGAACCTCGATGGCAGATGAGCATGATTATGAGAGATGTCCTTCGTTACCATAGGTGAGAGCAGTGACAGTATGAAAGTAGTGCAATAGATTCATCTTACTCCCCGCCCTCTATCCTCGCCCGCGTCCTCAGTTGGGCTTAGCTTTCACTACCGAAAGTACGCCCTCGTCAGTAAAGGCTAAGACTTGCCCCATACGATGGATGGTCTGTGGGCTATGGCGAATGCAGTCGGGCGTGATGGTGAAACACGGAGTCAACGTAGCCTCAGCATCGTGCAAAACATGGGCAGAGCCTCATCTCGCCAAGGCAAAGCATGAGGTGGCAATGAGCAATTGGGCACCAGGACAGACACTTTGTCTATTTGTCTGCCTTATCTCAGATGGCAATGTAACCGGACAAATGAACGCACAAGTCTTGGATTTAGGCGTCCATACTGTTGATGATTAGCTCAAAGTTCAACCCCACAGCTGTGGTACACACCCTCAGGACGGGTGGGATGTCATCTGACCCTGCTATAAGCGAACACAACCCGCCATTGATCAGACTTGGTCGCGGTGTACCGTCAAATTCATACCGACAGCTTGAGAACGGACCTTTGAAAGCGTCCATTACGACTTTATCTCCCCTATGAGGTATGAATCAATACGCGCAACCGAGTAGAATCGAAGTCAACCATAACCAAAGGCGCCCACCGATGATCAACGGCATTTTGTTCTCGTGCAATTTCGTCGCTGTAGCGGCGCGAGGGAGCCAGAATCACAAAGAACATTTGCACTGAACCGCTAGAGACTCAGAACTGGTCTTGTTCTGTGAGCCCACGAGTCGTCATCCAAGAAATCTGGCGGCAGATACTTTCCATGGTGAATTATGACACTGATCTCTGCTTTATGCTCTATTTTAGAAACTAATATGACCCAAGCCGGCACCCGGTCTCCCAGGGTGCACTTATCAGACCCCCGGAGAAATACACAGACAATGGCCTGATCTGAAATACCTTCCACGTCCCGAGCCATCCAGCGAATTTGTTGAAGATTATCGGCATTGGGTGGAGGAATACCGACACTGGAGGGACCTTAGGTGTGGTACAGGATATGGATACTTCTGTCGCAGCCATGGAATGTGGATAACTTGCGAAGAAGTCAGAAGCGGCATAGCAGACCGATCTAATCAAACACCATATTCGTGCCCAGGTAGTCACTATGAGTTGCAGTCTCTTTTGAGCGCATTTTTCGCGAGACAGGCGAAGAATCAAGAAGATGTCGCAGCAGCTCTGAAGGCGAAACTCCTCGCAGAAGAAGAACTTTTGCATTTTCAACATGAGGAACAAGGGGAAGAAGTAAGTTCTTCTTTCGACCGACTCACAGTAGACCCAGGTGGAGGACAAGAACCCACCTCTTCGTCCATCTACGATGATGATTCTAGTCAGTTTCATTTCGATTCGGAGCCACATAATAGATGGGGAGATCTCCAAGATTCAGTAGATATGGACTACGGACAAAGAAATCCTCGGGCAGGCGGAGAGAATATCGAACCCTACAAATTTTATCCGCAACAGGCGCACCCACAGACATACGGCAGAAGCGAGAAAACTTCTGCGAAGCAACACGATTCATCTAAAAAGGGGCACACCGAAGAAAGCCACTCCCGTCATAAACACAGTAAGAGCGAGAAAGCCTCGTCTAAGTCATACGAATCCTCGAAGACCAAAAAATCATCGAGAAAGAGCAAAAATGACCCGCCTCCTCCTTCATCATCATCATCATCATATCCTCCTGCAACATATCCTGAAGATGAAAATGTAGGAAATGACCAGTATGAGCTAAACGAGGAACTACCGCAGTCAGGCAACTACAGTGGAGGGGGCCAGGATTGGGATTATGATGACAACTCCTACTACGGGAACTGGTCATCCTCAAAACAAGGGAGGTCAAGTCACCATCGATGATG